TTAAAATAAATACAGAACTTGATTATATCCAGTCATTAAAGAAAAAAAATCTCCAATTTAAAACATACCTATGTAAGAAACAAAAGTTACAAATTGTTTTACGAACAGATAAGTAAAATATTCAAAATCCCATTTTTGGGGGGGGGAGGGGGGACTATTTTCTCAGATATTTCCAAGACCAGAAAAATACTACCAAAAAAAAAGATATCATACACATTAGTGTAAATAATATATTAGTATAGTCAAGAAGTGAAAAATAGCCCTAACCGGTTTGGCTCAGTGGCTAGAGCATCGGCCTGCGGACTGAAGGGTCCCAGGTTCGATTCCGGTCAAGGGCATGTGCCTTGGTTGCGGGCACATCCCCAGTAGGGGGCGTGCAGGAGGCAGCTGATTGATGTTTCATCAATGTTTCTAGCTCTCTATCCCTCTCCCTTCCTCTCTGTAAAAAAAATCAATAAAATGTATTTTCAAAAAAAAAAAGAAATGAAAAATAAAGATATTAATCACAAACCAAGTTCGTTTCATCCTAAGAATAAAATGTGGTTGAAAATGGAATCATCAACTAATAGAATTCACCACATTAACAGAAAAACATCATACACAGTTTGTATTACTAGATAAACTAGTGACTGATCTATATGAATGTTCATTGGTGATAACAACTTAACCCACCAGAACTAGAAGGGAACACGTTTTACTGGGGGGAAAAATCCACAAATACCTCCAGTAAACACCCTACTTAAGGGCAGAATAATCCCCTCTGGGGTCAGAAACAACGAAAGGCTGCAAATTCCATGCTCTTTTACATTGAACCGGAGGGAGGTCTGGCACCACAATAAAGTAAAGAAATACAAGGTGCAAGGGTTGCGGGGGGGGGGGGGGGGAGGCTGAAACTGACAGCTGATCACACTGTGTGTGGAATTCAAAAAATCTACAGATGATTGAAATGTGTAGCGGCGTTCGGCGCGGAGGTTCTGGGTATTTAACCCTCAGTTCTCCGCGATGCGCCTGAACCGCTGAGCTCGATCTGGAGGCACCTGGGTCACGTGTGACGGCGTCCGCGGGCGGGTCAGGTTAAGAGCAGCTGATTGATGTTTCTCTCATCAATGTTTCTAGCTCTCTATCCCTCTCCCTTCCTCTCTGTAAAAAAATCAAAATATATTTTCTAAAAAAAAGAAATGAAAAATAAAGATATTAATCACAAACCAAGTTTGTGGGAGGCGGGGGACGGGTGGGGGCAAATGTCAGCCGCGCTCACCGCACTCGCCGCCGGAATCCACCGACCAGCGCGGAGACGACGAGGTGAGGCTCCGTCCCGGGACCCGAATGGCGGGACGCTGTTCCTTTAGGAGAGAGCCCAGGGCGCTTTGGGGGAGAATCCAATGAGAAGGTGATTCTCCGATCCCCTCCGCTCCCTCCGCCGGCTGGACCCAGCCCCGAGTTCCCGATTCCGAGAGTCGGGGACGCGACACCCGCCGCGAGCGGGGCGGGCCGGGCTCGGGAAACGGCGCAGCGAGGGGAGGTCCGGGCGCGGGGTCCCGGCGGCAGCCACGCTGTGATCGCCGGCCTCCCCGAGGCCGAGCTCTCCGCTTCCGACGCTGGGGCCCGGGGGCGGGCCGGACCGAGGCCGCGGAGGCTGAGGACCCGGTGAAAATGGACCGAGGCCGCCAGGACTGTGCGGGGAGGCGAGGCCGGCCGCTCGCGCGCGCACGCGCAAAAGCACACATTTGCTTCCGGATTTTGCGCGGCGCCCAGCGGGAGAGGCGGGGGCTCAGGAGCTGGGAAATGGGGAGGGACCGGGAGGGTGGGGAGGGGGCGGTGGTGCTTCCAGCTGTGAGCGGCGAGCTGCCAATTTCCTCCCAGAAGAGACATGGTTGGGTCCTGGGACCGGATCAGCGCAGGAGTTGGGGTTGGGTGTCGGTGGGGCGGGACCAGGTCGGTGGGGCGGGGCCAGGTCAGTGGGGCGGGACCAGGTCAGTGAGGCGGACTTAATTGGCTACTCCTGTGGGGCGGGACTTAATGAATATTCCGAAAGGCGGGGCTTACGGTGAGGCCAGGTCGAAGGGCGGGGCCAGGTCGAGGGGCGGGGCCAGGTCAGTGGGGCGGGACTTAGTTGAATATTCCGAGAGGCGGGGCTTACGGTGGGGCCAGGTCGAGGGGCGGGACTGAGGTAGATGAGGGCTAAAGGCGATGTATGGCCTCCAATCCAGGCTCCCAAGAACTGGGGAACGGGACAGACACAAAACCTACACCAACCCACGAGACCTCCCTTCCACCCCAGTCAGTCCTTTCATTAGACTGTGCCAGCCTCTGCAACACTCCCGTCCTCTTTTTTAAAAATGGGAGTGGATATCGTTTTGTAAAAAACTTAAGGTCTACAAATTGTAGTGTGTGCCCACATTTCCTGTGGCCCCCAACCCTGATGCTGCTCTGGCCTTTTACCTCTAAAATCAGCACACCTCACAGTAGGACTCTGTTCAACCTCCTCTAGTATTCCTTTCCACCTGTTTTCCCAATTCCTTTTCACGTTCACATGGCAAAACAACACACAAGCATTCACTAAAGGCCCTTGTACTTCCTTCCGGTTCTCAGCCATAATTGTCACCCACCCCTTGCAGGCCAGGGACCCAGCATCGCAGTTCTACCCAGTGTAGCTGGTACCAACAGAACAAAACTGGGTTTGGTAAAGCAGATCAGAAAGTTTTTTTCTTTGGCCAAAGAATGGAGAAGGAGCTAAAGCTCTAAAAATCCCTTCTGCCTGATTCTGGGGAGGGGGTATTGATTCAATTATTTGATCAGCCCTAACAACTACATTGTATTATGCTAAGGGAAATAAGCCAGTCAGAGAAAGACAAGTATCACATGATCTCACTCATAGTGGAATCTAATGAACAAAATAAACTGATGAACAAAATAGATCCAGAGACATAGAAGCATGGAACAGACGGAGGAATTTCAGAGGGAGGCTGGACTGGGGAGGTGGTGGTGGTAGTAGAGGAAGGGGGTTAACTGGGAAACATGCATATATGCACAGCCCATGGACATAGACAACAGTGTGGTGAAAGCCTGGGAGGGGCAGTGCCAGATGGAGGGGGTCAATGGTGAAAAAAAGCAAAGGGACATCTGTAATAGTATGAACAATAAAGACAAAGTTAAAAAAAAATAAACTACATTGAAAAGCTGAATCACCAACAGTGAATTAATGAAAAGGGCATGTAGTTATGCAGTGATTGTATCCATCATCTCCATGGGGAAAGTTTAGCAACAATGGTGCCAACAGGAGTAAGATGCATTTAAGTATGCAGCAAAATGTGGCATCGATAAAGACGAAATGGAACTTTAAGGGAACATAATCAGGTGGGTCCCTGGGAAGAGCTAGAGTTATGGAAGTTCTCACACTGTCATTGGGAGAACCCAACAGAAAGAACTGTTTATATAATGAAGTTCTGCGGCTCTAACTTCCCCTTTTCTTATCTCCCTTCTATGAATACCCCTCCATCTTCGCTTGCAGGCCACATGGCTTGTCATGTCTGCATGTGCCGGGGTTCTTGTCCTAGCATCAAGAAGGGTTCAGGAATCTGGAAAAGGCTGTGCGTAGATGACATAGGAATCCAGAGACTAATAAAGAGTCCGGAGACTAGATACAATTTTGAAAGGCATTGGGGGTCAGAGGACCTTCAGCTAAAGGAACTGAAGAGTGCCTCCTTGTCTAGGACCCTTGCTTTTATTAACACAATTTGTCCTAAGGCAAGGTGGAGATAATACACTTCAAAGGGTAAGGTTTCAAAGGGTACAGAAGCATTGTCAGAATGGGGGAATTAGCCTATGGCTGCTCAGCTGTTTGGCCAGTAGGAGGCAATAACATGTAGATTAAGATGCCCTTTAACTGTCTGGCAGCCACAATCAGTTTCCTATTCAGGTTTGGGGAAATGCCTTTAGCCATTCCCAACAGGTGACTACATGTGTGACTCAACCCGGTTGAGTCCCCAAGTCTCATCAACCTTTTGATAAAATTCTTGAAATTATGACATGCTGGAATTGGTCTCCGGCATGCATGCACCGGGTTTCGATCGTTTCTTCTCCCGTCACCCCTAGTAAATTTTTAGTGATGACCATCTAGCGATCTTACTTTTTAGTCTACAGAACAATTGTTTTTCCCGTAAGACGTGCAAGAGGCAGGGGCCAGGGAAGAAAATAAACCACCGCAATTCTCGGCCACAGCACCTTTCCTTTTCTTTTTAAATATATTTTTATTGATTTCAGAGAGGAAGGGAGAGGGAGAGAGATAGGAGCATCAATGATGAGAGAGAATCACTGATTGGCTGCCTCCTACATGACCCCCACTGGGGATCGAACCCACAACCTGGGCATGTGCCCTTGGCCAGAATCGAACCCGGACCCTTCAGTCTGCAGGCTGACGCTCTATCCACTGACCCAAACTGGCCAGGGCAACACAGCCGCACCTTTCATGTCAATCTCCTGGCAGGCGATTCCCGGGTTGGTCCAAACCTCCGAGGCTCCGCCCCTTACGTCGCTCAAGGAGACCTAGCGAGCGTGCGTGTGCACGTTGGCGTGTGCGCGCGCGACGGCACTGTTAACTGCGAGCGGGCGGGCCGGCGGGCGTCTGAGGTAGCGGGAGGCGGGGTCACCGGGGCTGGCCTCGCGCGTTAGCCCGGCCCTGCGCGCTCTGACTCGGCCCCTCGGTCCTCCGGGGGGCGCTGCGGGGCGATTCCTCCTCCTCGGAGGGGCTCGGCCTGCGGGGTCCCCGCAGCAGCTGCGGGCGGGCGGGTCGGCCGCCTCCCCTTTAGCAAAGCCTCCAGGTCAGTCACCGTTTGCGCCCTTTCCTCAGAAGGAAAGACCGTCCTTCGCGTCGCTGACTGCGGCCTCGGGTGCCCGGTCCCCGCAGCCGGCACTCCCGTCGGGTCCGGGGCGCCCTCCGTGGATTTTCCCCCCGGGGTGTCGGTGATTGAGTTTGGTAAGTTGCGTTCCGGGGGAGAGAGGAGCCTTTCCCGGTGGCTGGGTGCACGCGGGTGAATGAAAGACTGTGACTCGCGCGCTGACCGCGGGGAACGGCGGCTGCCTCCTCGGGTCTCGAGTCGGCTGCTCGCAGAGCCCTGCAACCCCCGGCGCTGAGCGGGGCGTCTCCGGGGGAATAGCTGGTGCGCGCTGACTTCGCTGAGAGCAAAAGTCGAGGTGGAACCAGCCCTGAGTTCGGTGGGTTTGGACGGGCGGGTGGTTCTCATTTAGAAATTCCCATCGGGAGGAAATCTGCCTGCAGCGGCAGGTGCACCCTTGATCTACATTCACTGACGGTCACGATGTGTCTCGCTTGTCGTTCTGGATGTCGATTCTTGTGATGATGAGCCAGTGAGGGGCAGATTGCAGACACTCACTTCACCCCTTAAACATGCGCCTCCTAAGAACGAGGGCTGTCTCCTTCCAAAACAGAAAGAAACTCCATTGTCCACCCGAGAAAATCAGATTCCTCCAGTTCCCCAGAAAAGTATCTATGAGGGAAGAATCAGGGGTTTTTTTTTGGAGCTAGCATCGATCCGCACAAGACCACACGTTGCATGTTGTTTTCCAATCTCTTTATTACGCCCAAAACATTTCCCTGCATTTCTCAAAATTTAATTTTGATTGTTGAAGATTCCAGGAGAGCTATACAGGGGTTGTCAAAAGTAGGCTTACAGCTGTCCGCGGCGTTCTTTTGAGTCAGTAAAGCTGTTGTAATAATCATAACATTCGCGTCTCTTTCCGTACTGAAACTGTAAAGCTGTTTTTGCCAACCCCTGTATTGTAAGATGTCTGCGTTCTGATGCAATGCTGTTTCCTGTGATTTTGTTTGACTTGTCTGCCTCTTGGAGTTCTTGTGAAGTACATGTCGGATCCGGAGCAGTATTCTGTAATACAAATACAATGCAAGGTATGCATGTAATTTAAAAAATGTTTACAAGCCAAGTTAGAAAAATTAAAAATACATGTGACTTTATTTTCAATAATTTATTTAACCCAGCATACTCAGTTATCAATAGAAAATGATTAGTGAAATTAATAACTAATGTAGTCAATATAAAAGTATTACTAGAACTCTTATTTATTTTTAAATATGTTTTTATTGATTTGAGAGAGAGAGGAAGGGAGAGGGATGGAGAAAGAGAAACATTGATGAGAGAGAAACCTCGATGGGCTGCCTCCTGCACGCCCCCGCCTGGGGATCAAGCCCAAAACCCAGGCATGTGCCCTGACTGGGAATCCAACCCGTGACCCCTTGGTTGGTGACCTCTTGGTTGGTGGGTGGGTGCTCAACCAGCAGGGCTAATAGAGCTTTTAAGAACTTTCACATTTTGTTTTTTACTAACTGATTGAAATCTAGCGTGTATTTTACATTTACAGCACATCTCATGTGGATGCTAAATTTTCATTGGAAATTCTTAATCTGTATTTAGATTTTATAAAATTTACTGTTGAAAAAAATAAGTTTACAAACTCAGATGTTTCAGACATACTGAAAAGTTTTTTAGTAAAGGAATCAATTTTATTTCTAAACGGAATTAAAAGTGAATAAAGTTAAAAATTCAGTTCCTCAGTTGCATTAGCTAGCCCAGGGGTGGGCAAACTTTTTGACTCGAGGGCCACAATGGGTTCTTAAACTGGACCGGAGGGCCGGAACAAAAGCATGGATGGAGTGTTTGTGTGAACTAATATAAATTCAAAGTAAACATCATTACATAAAAGGGTACGGTCTTTTTTTTTTTAGTTTTATTCATTTCAAACGGGCCGGATCCGACCCGCGGGCCGTATTTTGCCCACGGCTGAGCTAGCCTGTGGCTATCAAGTTGTACTACACAGGTTTAGAGACTTGAAAGTTTCCTGGGTGATGTGTGCTTCATCTCATTGGGAGACGCTTAAATTCACTTAAATCCCGCTGTTCATTAGTGATGTTAAGCCACATTTTCCCTTGTGGTAATCTGTGGGTGACACTTTGTTCCCCAAAGCCTTTTACCTAGTGGTTTTAGCATCAGTTGTTGATTTTTGCCTTAACCTGTTTTTATTTTTTTAACCTATTTTTATATTAGGGGATACAAATGTGTTTTTTTCAAATTCTGTCATTCCTTCTTCATTCTTTAGCTGGCAGTCCTCTGTGAATAGGAGCTTTCCTTCCAACCCTCCCTTCTATACATTTTTCTTTTGTAGTATCACAACATATTCTTGAACTTTCATTTACTATATTACAGCCAATAGCTGCCAATCAAGGAATCTTGCCGGATGTATGTCTGGTCAATTGGGCTGCTGTAACAAAAATGTGGTAGATTGGTGGCTTATAAACAACACATTTCTGGGCATTCTAGAGGCTGGGAAAACCAAGATCAAGGTGTCAGCAGATTTAGTGTCTGGTGAGGACCCACTTTGTGGTTAATAGATGGCTGTCTTCTCGTTGTGTCCTCACATGGCAGAAGGGGCAAGGGAGTTCTCTGGGATCTCTTTTATAAGGGCAGTAATCCCACTAATCATGACCTCAAGGCCCTACCTCCAAATACCATCACACTGGAGATTAGGTTTCAATATATGAATTGGGGAAGGGGGTTGAGACACAAACATTTAACATTTAGTCTATAGCACCTAACTTTTGGTGTTTAGGTTTTTAATGGGATCTGTAATGTAGGCATGCAGCACCCGCATGACTGACGTTAGCCACTCAATTCAAAATTATACAATATTGTCCAGAGCCTCAAATCTTTATGACAGAGTAATATGTATTCAAACTCTAGCTCACCACTTCCTAATTGGTCATCTTAGGCTAATTACTACTCCTGTCTGAATAAGATTGCCTCAACTATTCAATGGTGGTAATTGGATGAGTTATCAATGTTTCTGGCACACGTTGGGTACTCTGTAAATTGCAATTATTATTTATGTTCGGATGGTGTAGTATGGAGTTTCTTGTGGCTTTCACATATATCATTTCATTTTCTGCTTGATGACAGATGACTAATGACTGCTGCCTAAAGATTGAAAGTATGAGGCAAGACTTCCCATTACTACTTAATCAAGAGGAATTGAATTTGAAACATACTCTCTTAAAGAGACTTTGGGAACAAGAAGTGTTCAGGCAGGTTCCTCTATCAGACTCACAGGATGCTGGCCATTGATCTTTCTCCTTGTGGTAAGTCCTTGTTGGTGTTCCTTTCAGAGATCTTACTCTAGTCTAGCCCATGAACAGTTGTCTTGTGCAGGGTCTAAGCCAACCGTGGGCAAACTATGGCCCGCGGGCCGGATCTGGCCCATTTGAAATGAATAAAACTGAAAAAAAAAAAAAAAACACCATACCCTTTTATGTAATGATGTTTACTTTGAATTTATATTAGTTCACACAAGCACTCCATCCATGCTTTTGTTCCGGCCCTCCGGTCCAGTTTAAGAACCCATTGTGGCCCTCGAGTCAAAAAGTTTGCCCACCCCTGGTCTAAGCAGTCCTGCTTCTAGGCTTTCTAGGAGAGGGGGATTAAGTAGATAAGAATGCCTAAATCCTGGGATTTGAGAAGGATGGGTATGTATGTATCTGTATATATAAAAGCCTAAGTGGCCATTACGACCCATTGACCGAATGACTGGTCGCTATGACATGCACCAACCACCAGGGGGCAGACGCTCAATGCAGGAGCTGCCCCCTGGTGGTCAGTGCACTCCCACAGCCAACCTTCCCCCGCTGGCCAACCTCCCGTGGTCCTCCCCAACCCAGCCGGCCCCCACTGGCCCCGATCAGCCCTGATCGGCCCCAATCACTGGCCAGACTGAGGGACCACACCCGTGCACGAATTGGTGCACCAGGCCTCTAGTATTTTTATAAGAGAGGTTCTGCTTAATCATTTGATGAGTTTTATCATTGTTGGCAAACAACTCTGCCTCCCTGGATTTTAATTTCTTTATCTGTAAAATGGGATTATTAAATTCTTCCTCTTATTTATTAAATCCAAAACTACTTTTCTGATTTCAGATAAGATGGGCTGCTTGGGCATTTTATGGGAGCTGTATGTGTATGTGTATGTGTTTGTCTATCCATCCATCCAAATGTGTATGTGTGTGTCCATCCATTTAGAATTAGTGTGAAATGGTGCTTCCAGGTTTGTGAATGTGGAAACTAGGCAATCTAAGTTTGTTTGTTTTTATATTTTTACTGATTTTTTTTTAGAAAGAGAGGAAGGGGTGGGGATAGAAGATAGAAACATTGATGAGAGAGAAACATCAATCGGGGGGCAGCCTAAGTTTTCAGATTTCATTTCTTCTCAAGGTTGTCTTTTTTCAGACTTTTTCTGTCTTCATTAAGAGAAGCGCAAGGGGAAAAAGATTATCACTGGATGCCTGACACATTATTCTCAGGTAAATAGGAAATGTATTCCTTTATTAAAACACATACTTCTTCCTACTAGGTAGACATGTTTCCTTCTAGTGGGATGGAGCTTCTTTTTAAAAATATATATTTTTTTATTGATTTCAGGATGGAAGAGAGAGGGGGAGAGAGAGAGAAATATCAGTGATGAGAGAGAATCATTGATTGGCTGCCTACTGCACGCCCCCTACTAGGGATCAAGCCTGTAACCTGAGCATGTGCCCTTGACTGGAATTGAACCCAGGACCCGTCAGTCCACAGGCCAACGCTCTATCCACTCAGTCAAACCAGCTAGGGCTAGAATGGAGCTTCTTAATACAAATAGGACCTGCTAAGGGACTGAGTCCCCAGTTTAATTTTCTCAGGTCTCAGGGCTTCTCATGTGGTTGACAGATTACATAGGGAAATGATACTGTTATCCCAGTATTTACTAGTTTAGTCTGATTCTGTGCTCTAAGTGTGTGCTCTAATTTTGTTATGATACACAGAGAGTGGACATGCCTACTCAGAATTTGTGATTCTGAGGACACACAAAGGAAAGATGTATGTTCAGGACTATGCTAAATCCTGTCAATAGAGAAAAATAAGACCAGAAGGGGTCACAGTCTAGTTGTGGGAGATAATTACATTCATTCAGGTGAAAGAAATGCTCTTAAAGCTGTGTGACTGAATGAGATTACTAGTGAATATGTCCAAGTAGAGAGAAGGGACATGAGGACCATTGAGCCATGGGGGAGATGATGATGGGAAAACATGGAACCCTGTCAGGCATAGGGTCTCCCTCTTTCTCCAGTGAATGTTGATCGAGGCAATTGCCTGATGCTAGAACATTTGTGACAGTGACCTTTGAGGATGTAGCTTTGGAATTCAACCAGGAGGAATGGACTTTGCTAGTTTAAACTCAGAGAAATCTATACAGAGATGTGGTGCTGGGGAACTATGAGAATCTGGTTGCAGTAGGTAGGACTGGTACCATTTCTTCATTTAAATTTTTTCTGGAACAAATATTTCTTAAGTGACTCTATTACAGGCACTCTGCTGATTAATGGGAATGCCCCGGTAGACAGAGAAGGCATTGTTTCTGCTCTTACAGACCTTACTCTCAAGCGGCTTTCTCATGAAAATGAAGATTTGTTCATTGTACTAGTTTTATTTTCTCTATGGATAAAAGGCTTAAGACCTCAAAAATGTATATACAAGTTTGAGCCTGGGTAAATACCAGCAACCCTTTTTAAGTATATTGAGAGAGAGAGAGTATGTGTTTGCTTTTGAAAGTTTTAGTGTCATTTGGAAGTTTACTGGTATGGTAGAGTTACATGAAAATTTTGTTGTTTCTCAAGTTATAACCAACAGTATTTGATATCCCTGAAGAGCAGAATCTTGGCCCGTGATTTATGAAAGTATTTGCTATCCCTTTCCATGTTCTTAACATGAAGGATCTTTCAGTGAGAGGAAGACATCAACTACGCACACCTGGTCTGATCTTTCAGGTGGAACAAAGAGAAGTGCTGAAGACAGTGGGGAAAAGTTCTTCAAAGTGAGGGAAAAGGCATATGTGATTCTTTTTTTTTTTTATCTTTATTGTTAAAAGTATTACATATGTCCCCTTTTTTCCCCTATTGACCTCTTCTAGCCCACCCCCGACCCCAGCCCCAGGCCTTCAACACCCTATTGTCTGTGTCCATGGGTTATGCATATATGCATACAAGTTCTTTGGTTGATCTCTTCACGCACACACACACCCTCCCTGCCTTCCCTCAGATTTGACAGTCTGTTCCATCCTTCTGTGTCTATGAATCTATTTTGTTCATCAGTTTATTTTATTCACTGGATTCCACTTTTGAGTGAGATCATATTATACTTATCTTTCTCTGACTGGCTTATTTCACTTCCATGTTTAATTTTTTGAGGAAACTCCATATTGTTTTCCACAGTGGCTGCACCAGTCTGCATTCCCACCAACACAACACGTACTAGGGTTCCCTTTTTCCCACATCCTCCCTAACACTTGTCATTTGTTGATTTGTTGATGATAGCCATTCTGACAGGTGTGAGGTGATGCCTCATTGTCGTTTTAATTTGCATCTCTTGGATAATCAGTGACTGAGCATTTTTTCATATGTCTCTTGGCATTCTAAATGTCCACTTTGGAGAAGTGTCTATTTAGATCCTTTGCCCATTTTTTTTATTGGATTGTTTGTCTTCCTTTTGTTAAGTTGTATGAATTCCCTTATATATTTTGGAAATTAACTCCTTATCGGATATATCATTGGCAAATATGTTCTCCCATGCTCTTTCATTTTGTTGATGGTTTCTTTTTCTGTGCAGAAGCTTTTTATTTTTATGCAATCCATTTGTTTATTTTCTTCTTATTTTCCTTTGCCCTAGGACAGTGGTCAGCAAACTCATTAGTCAACAGAGCCAAATATCAACAGTACTTCTTCAAAATAGCCTCGCCCAGGCCAAAAACCGACTTCTGCGCATGGGCCTCGAAGTTTCAATCGCACTGTACGTGCGCTCCCACACGTGGCATTTTGTGAAAGAGCCACACTCAAGGGGCCAAAGACCCGCATGTGAATCGCGAGCCACAGTTTGCCGACCACTGCCCTAGGAAATGTATTGGTAAAGATATTGCTACGAGAGATGTCTGAGATTTTGCTGCCTATGGTTTCTTCTAAGATTTTTATGGTTTCACAACTTACATTTAAGTCTTTTATCAATTTTGAGTTTATTCTTGTATATGGTGTAAGTTGGTGGTCTAGTTTCATTTTTTTGCATGTACCTGTCCAATTTTCCAAACACCATTTATTGAAGAGACTGTCTTTATTCCATTATATGCTCTTGCCTCCTTTGTCAAGTATTAATTGAGCAATTACCTAATTATTGCCTTGTAAATTGTATAAGATATTATTGCCTCTACTAATATTAGTAATAGGCAATCATAGGAAACCAAGTATATTGAAGTATAGTGTAAGTAGCCAGAATCTTCATAAGTGTGTCCAATACCTGGAATATTTGGAGTCAGATTGGAATTCTCTTTTTGAATAGCAGAACTGACTTTTAAAACCTCAGTTTCTGGTGTTTTCTCTTTGGGCAGTGAGTTATTTGGGGCTGGAGAGACCTGGAGCCTCTCTGAAGGGTTCAGCACAGTCTAGATTATTTAATTTTTTACATTTTTATTATGATAAATCTATAACATAAAATTTGTCATTATAACCATTTTAAAACACACAATTCAGTGGCATTAATTATATTCACAATATCATGCAACCATCACCATCTTGTTCATTTTTTAAAATTATTTTAGGGCTATTCAGTTTATATAGAGAGAGCAGCAATTTTCAACGAGTGTACCCCAAGAATTTTTTTTTTAATCCTCACCAGGGGATTTTTTTTTCCCCACTGATTTTCAGACAGAGTGGAAGGAAGGGAGGAGTTGGCGGAGAGAGAGAGAGAGAGAGAGAGAGAGAGTTGCCTCCTGCTCTCGCCCCCCACCACAGCCGGGATGGAACCCACAACCCAGGTATGTGCCCTTAACAGGGAATCAAACCCATTTGGTCCCCGGGGCAACACTCTAATTACTGACCAAAATTGGCCAAGGCAAGATCCTTTTTGAGGCCTGGATAATGTTTATGTTTTGTCTGTGCTCAGACGTGATTACAGAGTGGCCCTGTCTCTGTTGCTGTTGTTAAATCCTGAATGTCAGGGGCTGCTTTTCTCTTTACCAATACCATGTATCCTATTTGTGTTCAGTTCACTCCAAATGTCTCAAAATGTGTTTTTACAGTTGGCGTTGTTGGAATCAAGATTTAAGGTACACATGTTGCAGTGAATGTTTATGTGTCTTTATCAGTAACAGTTCACCTGTCCTCTTTCTACCCCAAAATGGGTTGGCTAATTGTTTCCTCAGATGTCATTTAACATGTCCCTGGGTTTCTCCTCTTCCCCTTTCCCATAAACTGTTAATTAGGTTAAAGGATTTTTCAGATTGTGTTTTTTGGGGGCAAAAATATTCTATAGTTGTTGCTGTTTCTTGTTGCATCATGTCAGAACTCACATGATATCCAGATGCCTCTTTTGTGATGTTAAGATTTATCAGTTGATTCTGGTGTCAGCTCAGTCCTTCATTTATAAAGTTCTTCAGCTTATTTATGTAGTCTTAAATTATCCCCTAGTTAATAATATCTTTATTAATTGCAAAAGGGAAAAGGGGTAACCCCATCAATCTTTGAGAGGCTCCTTGCTTTCTGGTATAAGATGTTCCAGGATCATCGTGAACATCTCCTGTTTTACATTGGACTCAGCTATTTCCAAAATGAGTCCTGGTTTCTCTCATAGGCAAATGGCATTTAGAAGCATTTTGACACTAGAGGGGTTCATTGCTCTTGAGTTGTTACTGACTCCAGGCATTTTTTCATGGTTCAGTTTAGGAAAAGGTTTAAAAAAAATAAATAATAAATATATACTATATTCCCAATTCCTAATTGTTCTTGGATAGGGAGATATAAATCTTAAGAGCAAACTGTGTGTATGTATATGTGCCTGTGTGTGTGGGTACTCTGCAGCTGGTGTGAGGAAGTTGCAGGTCTGTAACTGTTGACTGTCAGGCCTAGACTCTCATGGTTTCTTTCTTTTTCTCTAGCTCTGCTTGCTCAGAACTCTGCCAGGTGAGGAGGGAGACACAGAAAGGGAAGAATGGGTGCAGGATTGCTGACATCTTGGTCACAGGTATGTGGGAAATTATACTCTTTCCAAAAAAAAAAAAAAAAAAACCAAAACATTGCTGTCCCCAAAGAACACATCTCTTGCCCATGACCCACAGCTTCCCAGTCCTACTGGGCCGGCCTCAGGCTTCCTCAGTTCTCTGGGCTTCTTAGAATGGGAGAGCAAATGCCTTACGAAAGGCTTCTATTACTACAACATTTGTTAATGTTTTTCCAGATAGTCCTCCAGATTGAGTATGTTTTATATACTGTGGGGTGCTATGAAGGAAAAGAGAGATTTTTCACTAGAGGAAACATTTGTTCATTTTCCAAATATGTTTTCTCATCCTGTTGTACACTCAGTCTGTACTAGATCTTGAATAAGATTTTGAGAGTCCTCAGAATCTAAGTGTGGAAATATCAAGTCAACTGTGTGTTAGAAAAGCTGGTCAAACCATGAGCTTGAATGAGATGGTCCAGGGAGTGAGAGTGAGAGAGGAGAGTTCCAAGAACTGAGCTCTGGGGCAGACCATGAGAGGCTTCCAAAGCATGTCTGAGCTTCCAACGCACTGAGCCTCCTTCCCCAGTCCTGGAAGCCTCTCTCACCATTCTTGTGGCTCAGTGGATGACGAATGGTTGGCTAAGGCCGAATGTGTGTGACGTTTCAGGACTTGGTGACCTTTGAGGAAGTAGCGGTGGACTTCTCTCAGGAGGAGTGGGCACTCCTGAACTCTGCTCAGAAAATCCTGTACAGAGATGTGATGATGGAGAACTTTAGGAACCTGGCCTCTGTGGGTAAGATTGGCCTCATTTATTCATCTCTACATACAGCAAATAGTTTATCATATATCATGTTCCAGGATCTGTGAAAAGAATAACAAGTTCTGCCAGGTGTGGCTCAGTTGCTTGAGTGTCCTCCCATGCACCAAAGGTTGCCGGTTTGATTCCTGGGTTTTAGGTTTGGTCCCCAGTAGGAGGTAGCTGATCAATGTTTTGCTTTCACATCCATGTTTCTCTCTCTCTCCCTCTCTCTCTAAAACTCAATTTAAAAAATCTTTTTTTAAAATAAGAAAAGAATAACAATATGTGGTGAACCCCAAATGGGTGGTTCCTGCCCTTATGGGGCAGTCTCATGGCTTCCCATGAAAATGCACTGAATTGATTTTCTCTATCATTAAAAGATAAGGTAATTTGCATTGTATATCTGATCTTCGCCTTGGATTTCAAGGGTCAGTCCCATAAGAGACATGGAATATGGTATTTGTTTTGGGGCCCTGTGAAAGCTCTCTGATCTGATCTGTTTTGCTGCTCCTAAAGTTGCACTTGCCACTTCAGACCAGAGTATTGGAATCAGTTTTATGGAAAGATTTCTTGCCTCCTTCTCAGTGCTCCAAAATCACATCTTTTTCATTAGCAGGGTATCATCTCTGCAAATACAGTCTTATCACTGAGGTGGATCAGTAAGAACTGAGGCCAGGGAAGAAAAGAATTCTCCAAGGGGCCTGTTCAGGTGAGCCCCAAGCAGAAGGGAGTCATTGTGTGGAGCAGCCATAACTGGTGGTGCATTTCGGAATGTCAGTATGGGAAAAGGATGCTGAGGCGATTCTGTGGGCTTTCCTTCTTTCAACATATTTCCATTCATTCCTGTTCTGATTTGATCTCAGAAAGACTTTTAATTCCTCTTTCTTTTAAAAAAAAAAAATTTTTTTTATGTATTTCAGAGAGGAAGGGAAAGGGAGAGAGAGATAGAAACTAATGATGATGAGAAAGAATCATTGATCAGCTGCCTCCTGCACACCCCACACTGGGGATTGAGCTCCCAACACAGGCATATGCCCTGAGAACCTTGACCTCCTGCTTCATAGGTCCACACTCAACCATTGAGCCTTGCTAGCCGGGCTTAATTTCTCTTTCAATTTCACATTTCCTTGAATAATTTCTGTTCAGTCCTCCCTACTTTGCTTTCCAGGTAATACCCTCTCTTATTGTCTCAAACCTCCAGAATCCTTTCTAAGTAAAATACCTCCCATTTCCATTGCTTGTTCCTGTCAGTTACTCTGGTCATTGGTTTCATCTTCTCTTTCACATTTTTCTTTCTATATTTAGTGTTATTATTTGAAAACAAATCCACAGAGTATTTACCTTATTTTTTCTTTCATCCCTACTTTTTTCTCCCAATAGTTATAAAAATTTTCCTCCTTCAGTTTCAGGCTGGGCTACTCAACTTAAATCAAAACATTCAATTGCTATGCAGAATGTTCCTGAGGAAAAAACTTCTAACGGCATAAAAATGGTAAGATTTACTAGGGATGGCTTTTTATATTATGAGAAGTCTGTAAATTTCAGTAAATTAAAACAGCAGCAGCACCCATACAAGGAGAGGCAGTTGAAGCAAGTGGCGGAGAGCTGTCTCAGGGAAGACTATGAATCTCACAGAATTTGAGAAATCTCCAATCCTACCTCAACACTTGCTGCCTCACAGTAAGCAGCTTCAAAGAGAATACCAAAGAATAAACATTTACTTAAATGTGATTTGTTTTTAATTATTTAATACATAAGTCATTTATTCCTTACTCACCATTATAGAAACTCTGTATTTAGGATGCCCTTTGATTGGAATGAATACAGTGAGGCTTGGGAAGCATTCAGCTCATTCAAATTGAAGGAATTACTAGGGCAAAAATCGTACATATGCCATAGAATTGGTAAAAATGTCAGTCATAATAATGGACTTCTTATATGTGGCAGAATCCACATGGAAACGAATTCTCATAAGTGTAATGAAAGTAAGAAAGCTTTAGGTCACCTTTTAATCCTTATTCAACAGGCACCAACTCACCCTGGTGAGAAACCTTTGGAATTTGATCACTATGGAAAATTCTTCAGAAAGAACTGTCACCTTATTTGTACAAGATATTGGAAGGGACAGAAATGCTACAAATATAAAGAATACAGGAAAGATTTTGACCATTTCTTAACTCTTAGGAGTCATATGAGTACTCACTCTGAAGACAACATTTCTGAATTTATTGACTGTGGCAGAGTTTTCAATCTAGAGTCATCCTGTAGGGAACACTCAAGAACTCTCACAGGAGAGAAATCTGAGTGTAATCAATGTCTTCTGTCCTTCAGCTTACACTCTTCCTTTTCAGGACATGTGCAAAACCCTATTGGAGAGAAACTCTGTGAATGCAGTGACTATGGACAAAGACCTTCCCTTAGAGTGCACAAAAACTCGTGTACTGAGAAGGGAAGCTTAAAATGTGATAAACATGGGAAGGTTTTTACTGGCCCCTTGTCCCTTCAGAAATGTGAGAGACTTCACACTGCAGAGAAACCTTATGAATGTAGTGACTGTGGGAAAATATTCATTTTTCACTCTTCCCTTAAGAAACATGTGAGATCACACACTGGAGAGAAGCCTTATGAATGTAATCATTGTGGAAAATTCTTCAGCCAGAGCTCTCATCTTAATGTGCACAAAAGAACTCACACTGGAGAGAAACCCTATGACTGTAAGGAATGTGGCAAGGCTTTCACTGTTCCTTCCTCCCTCCAAAAACATATGAGAACCCACACTGGAGAGAAGCCCTATGAATGCAGCGACTGTGGGAAAGCCTTTATTGATCAGTCATCCCTTAAGAAACATCAACGCTCTCACACTGGAGAGAAACCTTATGAGTGTGATCAATGTGGAAAATCCTTCAGCACGGGCTCTTATCTTATTGTGCACAAGAGAATGCACACTGGAGAGAAAACCTATGAATGTAGAGAATGTGGGAAGGCCTTTAGGAATTCCTCTTGCCTGAGGGTACATGTGAGAACTCACACAGGAGAAAAGCCCTATAAATGTATTCACTGTGGAAAAGCATTCAGCACCAGCACTAACCTTATAATGCACAAGCGAATACATACCGGGCAAAAACTTTAAGAATGAAATGACTACAGGCTAGCTTTAAATGGCCCTTCACACCTCATTCCTCACTCTAGAACTCACACTGGAGAGAAACCTCATTGTGACCAATGGTGAAAGCCTTTAGGCACAACTCTCGACTTAACCTTATACAGGGAGCAACCTTGTAAGTGTTACAGTTCTGTGATTGTCTTTATCAGTGAGTGTTTCATCCTTAAAGTTTGACAACTCATTAATTGAGTATTAAATGTAATGTAGCATTCTAAATTTCCCTTGATTTACATCACAGAAGTTTTGATCGATAATGTTTTCATTGTAATTTAGTACTTAATATTGTCCAATTCTCATCAAGATGTCTTGGATCTATACAAGATTCTTGGATTTAGAAATGTATTTTAGTGTGAAAACTGCATATTTTAATTATTTTTTAGTTATAGAGTTCTAATTTAATTTTATTGTGCACTCAATATATGGTCTTCATGATATAGATTCTAAATTACATATACTCAGATAGAAAATGGTTGGAGATTTGCTTTGTGGCCTAATGTGTCAGATAGAACCAGTTGCTGTTCCATATTCATTGCTCCCTTCCTTAAAGTAACAGAACTACAATTGTGTTCAGGTTGGCAGTGTGGACAGTTTGTTAAGGAATTATCTAGCTTTCCTTGTAGCTATGAGTGCCCATGAGCCCACAGCCCTGGCCAATGAGAAAGAGTGAGAGCTGCTCCTGGGTTTTAAAAAGAAACCCATGAAATGGGAGCATCTCATCTGGTATTTTCTCATAACATTTTCCATTTATCTTATCTCTTCTTCTTTCTTAGGAAATAAACCAAAAGGATGGCAGTCATAGGCTACTGATTATACAGCAAGGAAATACAATAGTATTTGGCTGTACCAACCCTGGGTTGCTTGTTTCTGGACTTCATGTAACATGAAAAAAAAAACAAAACAAAAGCTCCAAACTGGTTTAAACCACTCTTGTGGGAAGATTCTGTTACAACAGATTTCACTCTCAATTGATAGATCTCATATGTGGCCAGGTTTTATGAATCCTTCAAGTATAGTTGAAAACAATGTATATTCTGTAATCATCAGGTATAATAGATTTATCTGATAGATAAACCTTACTCTGTTTATTAAATCTGTATCGTTACAAACCTTATCTCCTGGTCAACCAATGGTTGCTGATACCATTATGCCAATAGGAATTCCCAGTTTGGGGTATAGCAAAGAAGGAAAATTTATTTAGTACAAAACAGCTCCATTGTGAAATAGCACAGCTGTGGAATACCTTACTACTGTTATACCTCAATTATGAAGCAGCAGGACAGCATGGCTGTTTAGAGGCTCTGGGGCTAGGTGGCCCTGGGGCAAGGCCCTGCTCTGGCTAGGCAGCTCTGTCCTGCTCTGTTCTACCTCACTCAGCCCCTGTGCTGGTATGCTCAGCTCTGCTCCAGTGAGACACTTTCCAAGTTTTAGCTCCAGCAAGTCTTGTCATTTTTTTAAAAAAATTATTTTATTGGTTTTTTACAGAGAGGAAGGGAGAGGGACAGAGAGTTAGAAACATCGATGAGAGAAACATCGCAAGTCTTGTCTTCAGGGGAATGGGGAAGTGTCCTCCCAGAGGCAGAGAGGACTTGACTTACATAGACAGAAGTCCCTGTCCCTGGTCCTTGATTAATCCGCCCTCATGCAAAGGAGGACTCCAAATCCTTGCAGTTTGACTGGTCTAAAAAGCACTGCCCTGACTGGTCCCAAGGGAGCTATTCTGATTGGTCAGTGAAGATGTTGATGAATATGGCTGCACAGCTCCTATTGGATGGGAAAACCTCAGTCTTATTGGTTGAAATAGGACTCCAGGAATTCCTCTGTGAGGACTGGCTTGCAGAAACACAGCGCAGGAAGGCAGTCCAGTGCAGAGGCAGGCAGCTTAATGTAGGCTTCTCCCTAAAGTGTGGTTTGTGTGAGAAGACTCTGTATAGAAATGGCTGCTAGGCTCTGTTTAAAAAATTAAGCCCAGTTAAGCCACCAGGAGCCCTTCTTAGTAGGTATCTTCTTTCTTAGGGTCCACACAACTTACCCTCAAGTAGTTCACCAAAAAATGTATGTCTTTAGAGAGGGAACCAACACATAAAATGCTAAAATGGATAAATCTACTTTATAGTCCTGGGCCAGTTGTGGGATAGGCACAGAATCAGCAAGGAAGTGTGCACTCCTGTGGATTGGCTGTGGGCAACAGATTGGAAAGTGCATGCATAGATAAGTGGAAGCTCCTGGGGTTCAATGGTGCCTGGATATTCTCTCATTTGTTTAGTAGTGGAAATAGCCATGTGGAAGTTAATCTAAAGTTCCAACAGACAGACAGGAATGGGGGCAGCCTTTTGTCAGAGCTGGCCCAGAGCTATTAACAGGCTAACTATTTTGTCTTTTTCTCTCATTCTCTGGTGTTGTAATTTAATTTAGAGCATCTCAATTTTTTTCTTGTTGGTTTCAGAGTTAGGAATTTCTTCCTGAGGGATGTGTTAAATGTTACAAGGACCCTAGTCCTCAGAATCAGATAGGAAAAAAAAAAAATGAAGTGAATGAGAGAGGTCCCTATTTCTAGAAAGAGACATTGCAATTTCATTAGTGACATTGCTACTGTAGAATCAAGCATTTTGAAAATATCCCTTAGTATTTCTTGGGTACATGATGTCACTGCTGACCTCAACGAGAACAAATGTGATGGAGGCAGAAAGATGCCAGATGAGTTGAAGAGAGTGGAAATGGAAAGTATAGACCTATTTTTTTTTAAATCCACCAAGTAAATTTGAAGAACTAATAGGCTTTATTGAGTGATAAAGGAATCAGCCAGCATCCCATCCAACAACCAGAAGGGTTGTGCAAGTGGAGGTTTTATTAGGGGAAAGGGTGAGGCAAATGAGTCATTAGCAAAAAAGGGGGGAGGTATTTTAAGCCAAGCCATCTTCTTTTGGGAGAAGGGAACTGCAAAGTCTAACTATCAAGGTCTTAACACAAGTGACCCCATTTTAGGACTGTGGTTTTCTCATTAATAGCCGCAATATCAAAAAATTTGGAACAGTACCCAAAGAAAAATGTTTCATTTTCATTGAAAGATAGGAGGATGTAGAAGATTCCTATGACATTAGACATGATCATATTGCATGCAAACTTTGGGGAAAAACTGGATAAGGAAGGAAAAAGTGATAGTGTAAATTCCCTGGAACATTCAGAAGAGATGGAATAATTATACAAATAATTATTGAATGACAGTGGTGGTTAATGTTGTGATGGCATAGTTTCCAATGAGAGCATATAGTTTCCAATGAGGCCCTATAACTGAGAACTGAAGAATCCTGGGTGAGATTCAGCCAAGCATCAGCTTGTCGAACTGCCAATTCCCGAAGCAGCAACTTCTTCTCATTCTATACAATTACTTTATTTACACTGCCACCCATGCAGACGGATGGACACCAGACCAATATAATTGACCTCTGAGATAATAGGTCCTGTAGACCCCTCAACTCAAAATTAAACTGACATTTTTCCTCCCTAAAATGTTGCTTTTCCTTTTATTACCATCACTGTAAAAGCTACACCATTAACTCTGGCACCCATGCATTTGTTTCCAGTGGTTCTCAATGAGGCTGAGTTTGCCCCTACAGGACAATTGGCAATGTCTGGAGATGTTTCTGGTTGTAACAGTACAGAGTTGGCATCTAGTGGGTAGTCCACAGGAACCTCTTAAAAATCTCACAGAACATGAGACAGCTACTCACAAATAATTATATAGACCAGAATGTCAATATTGTCATGGATTAGAAATGCTAATAGACTCTTGAGAACTAATGCTAAAATTTTTTTCTAAAAAATCCCAGCCATCGTCTACTATTTTATAATGATATTAAAAATATTATCTGAAAGAAATCTCACAGTCTTGCTCTGTTGTTCTATTGCATCTTTTTTATTGTGGCTAAATATACATAACATACTAGTAAAATACACTATTTTAACCATTTTCAGGCATACAGTTCTATTGATTTGACATCAAGAACATTCAGCCCAGCCAATGAGGTTCAGTGGTTGAGCATTGACCCATGAACCAGGAGGTTGCTGGTTTGATTCCCAGTCAGGGCACATAGCCCAGGTTGTGGGCTTGATTCCCAGTAGAGGGCGTGCAGGACACAGCCTATCCACGTTTCTATCTCTCCCTTTCTCTCTCTGAACTTAGTAAAAACATACTTTTTTTTTTAAAGAACATTCACTTTGTTGTACAACCATCACCACCATCCATCTCCAGAATTTTTTCCTCTTCCCAATTGAAACTCTACCCATTAAACATGAGCTCCCCAGTTCCTCCCTTCTTCTAGTCCCTGCCAATCACCACTCTATTTCTTATCTCCATGAATTTTACTACTATTGGTACCTCATATAAGTGGAATTATACAATATTTGTTGTTTTGGGACGGTCCCATTTTATTTAACATATTTTCATCCACATTATACATGTGTAAGAATTTCATTTTTAAGGCTGAATAATATTCTGTTTTATGTTCATACCACATTTTGTTTATCCATTCACCCACTGATGGGTACTTGGGTTACTTACACTTTTTATTTATTGTCAGTATTGCTGCTGTAAACATGAGTGTTCATAGAAATATCTGTTTGATTCCCTGCCTTACATTACTTTGTTTCCATAGCTTCTTTCACAATTAAACTGTATTTATTGATTCACCTCTTTATTTTACTCTTCACTGGAGAGTAACCTATATGACAACAGAGACTACTTCACAACCATGTTTCTAGTCCCTAAAACATTGTAGGTTCTCAGTATATATTTATTGTATAAAATAAAAGGATCAGTCTTCTAAAAAGTCTATGTTATATAATTACAGTTGACCCTTGAACAATGCAGGGGTTATAGGCACCAACCCTCTGTGCAGTCAAAACTCTGTGGATGCTCAAGTTCCCTATATAAAATGGTATAGATCAGTGCATACAGTCAGCTCTTCACATCCACAGACTCCTAACCAAAAACTGAAAACAGTACAGGTATTATATATAAACTAGAGGCCCGGTGCACAAAAATTTGTGCACTCGGGGGGAGGGGGGTTCCTCAGCCCGGCCTGTGCCCTCTCACAGTCTGGGACCCCTCGGGAGATAATGACCTGCTGGCTTAGGCCTGCTCCCGGGTGGCAGAGGGCAGGCCCAATCCCTAGGTGCAGCCCCTGGTCGGGCTCAGAGCAGGGCCGATTGGGGAGTTGGGGCACCGCCCCCTGTCATGCACAGAGCAGGGCGGATCAGGAGGTTGCGATGCCACCCTCAGTCATGCTCAGGGTAGGGCCGACTGGGAGGTTGGGGCACCGTCCCCTGTCACACTCAAGGCAGGGTTGATGGGGAGGTTGCGGCGCCACCCCATCATGCACAGAGCAGGGCCAATCAGGGGGTTGGGGCTCTGTACCCTGTCACACACAGAGCAGGGCCCATCAAGGGGTTGGGGCACCGCCCTCTATCACCCACAGAGCAGGGCCGATCAGAGGGTTGGGGCACCACCACTCTCACACTCAGGGCAGGGCCGATGGGGAGGTTATGGCTCTACCCCGTCACACACAGAGCAGGGCCCATGGGGGGTGGGAGGGCAGTTGGGGCGCCGCACCCTGTCACACACACAGCCGCAGGGCGATCGAGGTTTGGGCGCTGCCCCCTGTCACACTGATCCCGGGGCCGGGAGGCCTCGCGGCTCCACTGATCCCGGTGCTGGGAGGCATATTACCCTTTTACTATATAGGGTAGAGGCCTGGTGCATGGGTGGGGCTGGCTGGTTTGCCCTGAAGGGTGTCCTGGATCAGGGTGGGGGTCCCCACTGGGGTGCCTGGCCAGCCTGGGTGAGGGGCTGAGGGCTGTTTTCAGGCTGGTGGGTGACGGAAGCTCCCAACTGCTCCTTTTTTTCTTTTTTTCTTTTTTATTCTGGGCCAGCTTTAGCTTTGAGGCTTGGCTCCAGCTCTTAGGCCTCCACTGCTGAAAGTGGTTTCTGGCCTTTGTTTACAATGTTGCGATCCTGCCCGGCAACTAAAGGAGGTTTCTGAGGTTTTGTTTAGCTTCTATATTTGTTACATAGTAGCTTAGAGTTGCAGGTCAGAGGCCTGCAGCGCAGGCGGGAACGTTGGAGTCCTCCGTCACTGAAGCAAGCAAGCCTCATGTTAGTTTCAAGCTGCCTGGCTGCCGGCCGCCATCTTGTCTGGCAGTTAATTTGCATATCTCGCTGATTAGCCAATGGGAAGGGTAGCGGTTGTACACCAATTACCATGTTTCTCTTTTATTAGATAGGATGGACACCCATACTTCAAACCCGTGTTTTTCAAGGACAGTGATTTTTTTACCCAAATATCACTCACTATGAAGCAGCCCCACTGATAGCTAAATTTTAGATAACTAGACAAGTAATAAATCCAGAACTTCTGGGGTTTGCATAAATCATTCCATATGAGAGTAGATAAGAAACAAAGACAAGATCTATGCCAGGGTTCATGTCCCAGCATCAAGAAGGGTTCAGGAATCTGGGAAAGGGGCTGTGCGTAGATGACATAGGAATCCAGAGACTAATAAAGAGTCCGGAGACGAGATACAATTTTGAAAGGCATTAGGGGTCAGAGGACCTTCAGCTAAAGGAACTGAATACTCCCTCCCTGTCTAGGACCCTTGCTTTTATTAACACAATTTGTCCTAAGGCAAGGTGGAGATAACACACTTCAAAGGGTAAGGTTTCAAAGGGTACAGAAGCATTGTCAGAATGGGGGAATTAGCCTACGGCTGTTCAAGTTCTTGGCCAGTAGGAGGCAATAACATGTAGATTAAGATGCCCTTTAACTGTCTGGCAGCCACAATCAGTTTCCTATTCAGGTTTGGGGAAATGCCTTTAGCCATTCCCAACAGGTGACTACATGTGTGACTCAACCCTGTTGAGTCCCCAAGTCTCATCAACCTTTTGATGAAACTCTTAAAATTATGACATGTTGGAATTGGTCTCTGGCAAAGATCACCTGGGCTGTCACCTATGTGTCTGTTTCCTTCCTAGTTATGGAAAGGTGGTAGTCACTGGAAGAGACTAGGGAAATAATCTAAAGGTTGCCTTATAAAATGTTCATGGAAGCTTTTTTATAACACCTGGACCTCTGCCAGACTTCCATGGCATTGGGAGTAAAACATGTTCAACAAAACCTAAGGTTCCTCTGACCAAATGGTCTCTATGTTTGCAGTGCACGACTCTGGCTCTGTGTGGAAGGACACATGCCTCGTAAAGAGTTCACACCTTTTCTTCCTGAAAAGATTTGCTAGCATCTTCACTGATAAACTCTCTCCACTTAGATTTCAGGGCAACCTTCCTGCTGAGTCACTGGGCTCTCCTGCCCAGTCTCTCTTGCAAGTTCCTCCTCTCCCAGGGTGCCCCCGTGTCCTGTCCATGGTCTTGCATATTCACACTTGTTCCTTTGAGGATCTCAGCCATCTTCCAGGCCTCAAAGCTAAATATGTCTATAACCTTTCAATTTTTACCTTCAGTACAGACCACAAACTGCAGACTCTACTGAAATTTCAAACAAACATCTCCATACTTTTCACTGTGGTACAATATACATAACCTAAAATTTACCATTTTAACTATTTTTAAGTGTACGGTTCCATGCTTTAAGTACATTTACATTGTTGTGCAACCATCATGACCATCCATCTCCAGATATTTTTCATCTTCCCCAAACAAAAATTGGTACCTATTAAATACTAACTCCCCATTCTCCTTCCTCCCATCTCCTGGTAATCTATGTTAACTTCTCTGTCTAATGAATTTGACTGCTGTAGTTATCTAATGTAAGTGGAACCTTATATTTCTCAATTTGGAATGTCTCAATTTGAACATTTCAAAACCTGAACTTCTAATGTTTCCTTTCCTTCCAAATTTGCTCCACTCATCGCCCTCTCTGTCTCAATGGATGCAATTACATTCCTCAGTTGTTCAGGCCTCCAACCCTAGAGACATTCTTGGTTTCTCTCTTTCTCTCACATCCACATCCTCCTGCTTCTACCTTTAAAATGTAGCCTAACTGACTGCTTCCCAACCCTTACACTATTATCCCCCCCTTGGCCCTAGCTACCTGCATCACACCAGGATAGTATGTCAGCTCCAAGTGGGCTGCCTCACACCCTACAATCCATGCTCAACCCAGCAGCCATAATTATTTTTAAAATCCTAGGTTAGATCATGTCATGTGTCTGCCCAAACCACACTGTTGGTCCGCACACCGAAGGGTCTTGGGTTCAATTCTGAGACAAACGCAGGTACCAGGGTTGCAGGTGCAATCCTGGCCCCAGTAGGGTGTGTGCAGGAGGCAACCAATTGATGTATCTCCCTCACATCAATGATTTTCTCTCTTTTTCCTCTCTCTCCCTCACTCCCTCCCTCTCTCCCTTCCACTCTCTAAAAATCAAGGAAAAAATATTCTCAGGCGAGGATTAACAAAAACTAAATAAACCCCTGCAATGAGTCCTCAGTCACTCAGATGCCTGCCTTCCTCTTAGCTGCTATGCACCCCAATGGCTCTGCTGCAGCCACATTGCCTCAGACAACCTCCCACCTCAGGGTCTTGGTATTAACCTTGCCCTCTGCCTGGGGCACTGTTTCTCCAGATGTGCGTTCACCTGAATCATTCACCATCTTCACAAATGTAACTTTCTCAATGAGGTTTATGAAGACCATTGGTTTTAATATGGCAGCCTGCTCCTTCTCATACCCCTGATTCTCTTGATCCTGTAGCAGTTGAGCCTAAAGTAATGACTGACAGATAGTAAATAATCAGTAAAAATAGGTTAGATAAGTTGAATAAAAATGTGGTTCTGAAGCGGCTGCCAGTAACATTGACTCCTCATCACAG